CCTCCAGTGTGTCCCACAGAGGCACTGGCAGTTTTAATCATCGGAAACTATATTGCTCCCTCAAATAAAATCCACAACAGTCACTGTATCAGGCAGTCAGCTTTAGACAATGAGTGAAGAGGAATGAGACCTAAGCAGAGAGGTAATTTGCCAACTCACAAAACAGAGTGAAGAGGAAGGGTGGGCCCAGGCCAGGTATAATCTGTGACCCACCAGTTTGCCACCCAGGATCATCTGTTGGAGCTCTCCTTTTCGGCCATATCAGTTCTAGGACTGACATCCATACATGCCAATGTCCAAGGACAGGAAGGCACTTTCTACTCTCTGTATCTCTGCTGTAGCAAGGGAGCAGACCAGAAGCCCCCACAGACATTCCCTCTGGGTTAGTTCCCCATTCCTCAGTCAGTGGGGAGCCAGTGGAATGGATGACCATGGCAGTCTTGGATGAGAGATTTTGGAGGGGAGTGGTGCCTTGGAGGACTTTCACCTCTTATCCACCCTTGGGGATTCAGCTTAGAAAGAACTTCCTCCAGGAGGCCTTCTCTGGCCTCTTCCCCAAGCCCTAGATGAGCTCACACAGCACCCTGAATTTCCCCTCTCCCAGCCCCAGCCCCACTCAGTTGGCATCAGATGGTTCTGCCTGTCTCACTCACTAGCCCAGAAGCCAACAGTGGCCAGCGACTTGGCAGAATTTGCCCATCACAGAGCCCCGACCCCAGTGGACGTTCACGAACAGCCTGCAAATGAAGTAAGAAGAATTTGGGGTCCTCCACAAATGTCTCACTCTGCAAGTAAAACCCTATACAATCCGTACTGTCCCGTGTTGCAAGGAAGCAAATTCCTGCACCACAAAGTTGGGTAATAGCCCTAAGACCACACATCTAAGACAGGGGCAGAATTCCATGCCATGTCTGTCTGACTCCAGGTGCGTGTTTCTCTTGGGGGCAGGGCACTGCCTCTGTGGATTATCAACTGGCATGGAAGCCCGAGTTACAAAGTAATCCTGCGGGGGGAAGAGGCCAGCCAGGAAAGTCCTGGAGGCTGGCCCACGTGTCCAGAGCTGGTCCAGGGATCAGGCAACTGTCACAGCCAATGTTTACCTTCCCTTACTGGTACCAGGCTCTGTTCTCGGTGCCTGGAATGCTGTCCTCAACAAAGCCTGCTCAAACCTCCTGCCCTCATCAGCTTGCATTCTAGCCCGGGTGAGCAGAAGGTAAATAGCCGAACAAGTAAATGCATACAGTGTGGGGGTGATGAGCACTGGGAAGAGAGCTGTGCTGATTTTGACGATCGAGACAAGGACACACGATACTTTTTCCAACTCTGCCTAATGTGATGACATATCCTTATAAAATGAGTTCATTTCAGTTCGGAAGAACTGAGTTCACATACTACTATCAACTACATAATACTATGATGGTTTTCCAGAAATGGCAAGACTCTACCAAAAATGGCTGAGATCCGTGCAAGGTCACTGTCTGCTGAAAAGCGTATGCCCACCTTATACAACGCCAGGGAAAAAGGAGTCTGAGTTCCAGACAATGCAGTGCCACGCTGCTGTTCTGTATCTTTGTCACCTGCACGGATTAGCTGTATTCTCCTCTATCAGGAAGAGAGGGGATAGTCTTGTCAGCGGCTCTGCTGCAAAAGAACATGGACATTAGCCAACACTCAGTGATGCCCGCTTTCCAGCATGAAAGAAGAAAATGAAGACCAATGAAACGTGGTCCTAGCATGGCATTTGGGATCTTCCTGTAGGTGGGCCCAGAAGACACAGACAGGGAACCACAGTGGGAGTTCAAAGGGGTGGGGGCAGGGAAAGGGTGAAGAGGAGGAGAGGCTGAAGCAGCAGGAGGAAGACAAGGGAAAAGTCTCCTCTTGCAAAGTGAAGAGCTCACCTGGTCACCCGGGTCACTGATCACTAGGTTCACATCGTCAATGCTGCTGATGCCATCGCGAGTGAGATCTATGCCTCTCACCTACAAGACAACAAAACCTGAATGGTGAGGTGTATTCACCTAACACTTCTTTACTGATGGCACACTCTGTTCAGCGGTCCCCTCAGTGAGGTACCCAAAGCAGCCATACCCAGAGAACAGAGCTCAGCCCCAGTAAGGAACATTCTAAGGTATAATATAAAGCAGAAGGGAAAAACAAAAAAAAACAAAAAAACCCTAGGTGCTACATTGTTACTAGAAACCTAAGAAGAGATTAGGGATAGAAGACACAATGCTTCTCACCCCATCTCCTCAGAATAAGCAGAAATTCAAGCACAGGACCTGCCACGCCAGCTCATTCACTATATATATATATATATATATATATATATATATATATATATATATATATATATATATATATATATATATTTTTTTTTTTTTTTTTTTCCCGCCCGAGTAACAGCTGGTCTGACAGTTCCTATTCCCAACGAAGGGGAATACATGGCTATTGTGCTCATAGTATATGGCTCTGGACTCTCTACTGTGTGGGGATAAAAGCCATAAACACTCTCTGCATGGACGGAAAATGAAGTTGATATACTTTCTGCATCCACTCCTGCACACTCTATCCTCCTTGCAGGATAAAAGTCCTCAGCAGGCTCCCAGTCTTTGGGGGCAGGGAGCCAAACTGAAGATGAGGAAGAGGACCTGAGCTGGGGGAGCTGAAAACTCAGAGAAGGCCCTGAGGCCCAGGTGGTCAGGAAGGGCTTCTCCATGGGCGTGATGCCCTAGGGAAAACGTAGGTTACCTATCCCTTACCTGACATACTCAGGGACAGAAGTATTTCAGAGTGTTTCGGGTTTTGCAAAATTTTCATATACCTAATGAGATTCTCTGGGAGGGGGAGACCCACTGAATTCATTTACGAGTCATACACACCTTGTATACAATACCCTAAAGATAGTTTCATATGATATCTTTAATTAAGGCGCCTGTGTGTATGTGTGCATACCCACTGGGGAGTGAACCCAGGGCTTCAGGCATGCTAAGTACACCCTCTATCACTGAGCTACCCCACCCCCAGCCACTCTCAGAAATTTTGGGGTTTGGGAGCAGTTCGGATTGTGGAGTGTCAGAAGACGGAGACTCAATCTGTATTATTGCCCTTACTTGCAGATGAGGTACGTGAGGATCAGAAATGTTCAGCCACTCACTCAAGGTCACGGAGCTAGGTTGTGATGCTGGCCATTTCTCCGCTAGGTCTGTTAAAATACAAATATCTCTGTACCTTTCATCACACCAATCTCTCCTCTCACTACTGTCGCCTGTTTCAGTTTCCATCCGCCATCTTATACTTACCCGTGGCTCTCCTTACCTTTAAATTCTCATAATCTGATAAATATCAAATACAGAGGGGGTGTTAGCACGGGATCATTACTCTAAGAACATAAATTTTCCTTGCAACGCACCAGAACCGAACATTTATCTTTAGTTTTTCTTCCACCCACACGCCGGGTCAACAAAATGGATCTGGGGCTTAGTTTTAACTCAGCTAGTCACACAATCCCAAGTCTGATTTCCAATGTAATGGACATCTGACTGCAAAGAGCATGACCAGCGCCTCCCTATGAAAATCATTCCCGGAGCATTTTCTCAAATGCCAGTGATGGTCCAGGCTAAGAGACACTTTGACAGGGAGCTGTTGGGATTCTGCTCCTGAAAACAGAGAACTGCTTCCTCTCTGGCCTTTCTCCCTGTTGCTGGTACCCCAAGAGGCTCAGCCAAGCAAGGCCACTCACTGGCCCTTCTTGGATAAAACTAACACTACCCTGACGCACGCAGGTCAACACACAAATGCAACACACCCCATAGGACCCTGTGAATCTAGGGAAACCGCAAGGGAAGTGCCAGTGGAAATCTGTCAGCCTATCATGACACCAAATTTCTGATCCCACCCAGGTCAACTGCCCAGGATCGGCTGCACTGCAGCCAACGGGACGACCAAAGATGCCCTCCCTCTCTGAACATCACACACTGCAGCTCGCATAGTGATTTGATGGAAAAGGTCCAAACACTTGCATGCGAATGCAGGAATCACAGAGCCTACTAAGAGCCTGCCTGCTTCTAAGTCACATCCTGAGCCCTCTGGCTCTCACGCATCCTGGGAAGACTTTCTCTGACGTTTCCATTTGGGAAATGTCGCCTTCCTTGAAATCACTTCAGAGATTTTTGTCTCCTATGGTGGGGTGGGAGATGAGGCGGAGTGGGAGGCGATACCGAGGAAACAGGTTATTTCTGAACCTGTTGAACACGGATTCGAGCACCCAGCTGCTTAAGGATGCCCACAGGAAGTTTCAGTCCTATTTCTCGGCTTCAAAACGCCGGGCCCCAGCTAGAGAAAGAGAAATACGCCACACGCAGACTGCCCACCCGCCATTCTGATAAGGACGAGATGGGGCGTCTGAGAAAAACAACGGTCCCCTCGGAAAGCGCCCTTCACGGCTGGCCAAAGGAGGACTCCGGTCCCAGGACCCACAGGCGCACCTGGCCTGGTCCAGGAGGTTCTCTCTGAGTCTCTCCCCCACCCCCTTCTCTTCTCCTTCTCTCACCCAGCCGGTGCCAGGGAGACTCTGTCTCTCCCCCTCGGCCTCCCTCTCTCTCCGTCTCTCGGGGTCTCCGGCTCCCTCTGCGTCTGTCTCTCTCCCAGCCCCCTCGCCTCCCAGTCTCTCTCAGTCTCTCCCTGTCTCTCTGTGGCTCCCACGCTCTCCGTCTCTCCGAGCCTCTCTCCCACCCGCTTCTCTCTATCTCTGTCGCTGGGGCTCCTTAGGTCTCGGTGTCACTCGGGCTGTCTCACGCGCGGTCTTTCTCCGGAGCGGGTCCGGGCGTCTGCTCGCCGGCGCGCCGCCAGCTCTCCTCAGCCCTGGTAACGCACCGCGGCGCTTGGAAGGAAAGGGTTAAGATCACCGAGAGGAGCCGCCCTCCGGAGGCTAGAGAGGCCGCGCCAGGGAAGGCGGGGTCTGTGGGCCTGGCGTGCGTCAGAGGGCAGGGACGCCTGGGAGGAGGAGAACGGGGACCTGGGTTCGCTGTGGCAGCTGCAGTGCGAGTCGGGAAGGGGACGGCCCCGGGTTGCTCCGCGGAGCGGCAGGGTAGGGGGTCGGGGCCCGCGCGTTCCCTCTCGGCCCCGCGGAGCGGCGGCGTCGAGGCCGCCCGCCGTCCGGGCAGCGCACCGCCGCGGGCCCTCGCGACCTCGAGAGCGCGGGTCCGGGACTTGGCGATGCTCGCCGAGGCCGTGGGAAGAGATTCCGGGCAGCGGAGGTGACGTCACAGGCGGGGCTCGTGGGAACCGGCGAGGGGGTCACGGGAGGCCACCTGCTCGGGGACGGGCTGGCTCGTTCTGGTCTGGAGCGCGCGAGACCGGATACCCGCTCTGTGATTTGGGTTTTTTTCACTAGCTGTTTTTGCAAGGGCGGAAGGAGCCCACCGAGAAGGAACGCGCGTGCGCACGCACACACGCAAAGACATGGAACCCATTCGGGCTGCTGCAGTAGGCAGAGGGCCCTGGATGTGGATACCAGTGTCGCGGCGGGGTGGCTCTTGCCTTTGCGTTTCGCGAGGAATAGACAGGCTATAGTGGGGGAGATTTAACGGGGGCGGAGGTTATTGATATGATCAGAGGTGCTCTCTGTAAACTGAATGGGGAGTGATTATCGCTGCCCAGCTAGTCGAGGAGAAGAAACTTCCAAATCTAAGCGCATCATCCTTGAGACAGACAGTGGACCAGGAGTCAGGAGGGCGTGTCATACCCGAGTGGTGTGGGACTGGTGGCCGGGTGGACAGAGTGCAGGCCTCATATCTTTAGTCGCATGGGGAAGGGTGGTCCTTTGTGGTCAGCGTTTCCCAGAGCAGGAAATCATGCTGGAATTTCTTCGCGATGACTTGCATCAGGAGTCAGGAGATGTTCAACAAGGTCAAACTAAGCAGGGCATCTTTCATGCCTTTCCAAGCAGATCCATATGTATGGAAAGAGATGATCATTTTGCCCTGGAAGTTACTAACCCATGAACAGCATTTTATACTTTCCAGATGGTCGCATACTCATGGTGTAGGTGAAGGCAGAAATCAGTAATTGTCCCAGATTGTGATCATCATCCTCATTTTATAGATGAGGTGTCTTTTTGTGTTCCAGTGCTGGATATGGAACCCAGGGACTTGCGCCACCTAGGAATGCCCTCTGCCACTGAACTTTGTCCCCAGCCCCAAATGAGGGCTGGAGCTCAGGTGACAGAGGTTTTGCCCAGCAGGTTGGCGACCCTAGGTTGGATCCCCAGCACCAAATAAAAATGTTTGTAAAGTGAGGTAACGGCCACAGAGAGGTTTCATAACCAGCCCAGAGTTACACAGGGAATAACTGGGGTATCACTGATGCAAATCCAAGTGTCTGTGGCTTCAGTACCCCATTCCAGATCCAGATATCTGAATCAGTCCTCCCTCCTAAACTGTAGACCTCTTGAGCCAACTAACCACCCACCAGTCACATTTTTGCACTCAGTGAACTCTGGGGCAGTGGACGTGACCTCCAAGAGAAAAGAGTGGTAGGGAAAGTGGATCCCAAAGCCGGTGCCCTACCGGCTGGAGAGAGAGAGGGCCTATTATCAGGAGCTTGAAGGATGAGAGGAGGAGAGGTTAAGTCTTCCATAGGAGACAGACAATTATGCTCCACGCAGGTGGTGGTCAGCTCGGATTATATTCAATTTATTTACTTTTCCTTTCTCCCCCCCTCCCTTCCTTCCTGCCTATCTTTCAGCATTTGCAAAACATGCTCTGTGGTGAGCACACCCGAAGCCTATATGTGGGTAAGTAGAGAGATTCCCATTTTTGCATGGTGACTACCTGACCATAACCACCACGATGCTTCTGGATAAAAAGAGAACATTCCCCTACACTAAACAGATGAAACTAATTAAGTCATGTTTTCTAATTCTTATTTATTATTCTCCAATCACAGAAATGGCATGCTAGGCACTGAGAGGTTAGGTCAGCTCCCCAGAGTCACCGTTGTGGTTGACTCCCACAACAGTTAATGATCAGCATGTCCCAAACTGAAACTGTCCACGCCCACCCTCTGCACACCTTTTTCTCCAAGACACCACCTTTTGGTTTTGGTGTTTGTTTGTTTTCTTTTACATTTTATTTAGAGACAGGGCATCAGTGAGTTGCTTAAGGCCTGGTTGAGTTGCTGAGGCTGGCTTTTAACTCATGATCCTCCTGCCTCAGCCTCACCAGCTGCTGGGATTACAGGTGTTTGCCATCACGCCTAGCTGCAGTTTCTGTTTTACCTAGGGAGTAGATGGCTGGAAAAGCTTACTGACTTGGCACTTGATGAAGATTCCTTATAGATTTCCCAGATCGACTGACTAATTGGAATAGGTCTGAGAGCTGGGCTTCCGGGGCAAGTTTTACTGAGAAATACAATACACAATGGTAAGTGTGGAAGGCCACAGTTTAATTTGATCGACCTCAGTAATCACTTCACTGTGTATGTAGTGCAGAACATCATGTCGTATGCCTTAATTATATGATAAAAATGAGCTTAAAGAATAGTGACACCTACGTAAATAGTAATAAAGGCATATGTGTAAAAGATTTCAAGGAAGAGAATAGCATACATTCACAAAGATCTCCCCTTCATTCATATGGACCCAATGTTGCATTTGCCTTTGGAATTTGCAGTTGCGGCTATAATTTTTGTACCATGATGAGATGCAGGCTGGAGGTCTCCCTTGCAGTGGAGAGTTAAGTAGCAGAAACAAGGAAAGAATCTGTCACTTTATAGCCTCCTTGACCAAGGAAATTAAGTAAACAAGATTTGATCTGCCCTTGATAACGACTGTTTTGGTGTAATGATGGTCCACGGCAGGTTCCGTCTTAGATACAGTCTGAGCTTTCTGTAGTGACAAAGCATTCTAACTGAGACAGAGGAATGAGTCTGACATAACTTTCCTATGTGTATATATGTGAATACACCACAGTGAATCTCAACATGGTGTCCATCCACAAGACTGGGATTTTAATTAGAATAAGATATATACCATGCTTGTTTAAACATCTCAAAATGGAGTCTGCTGTCTTGTATAACTAAAAAGAACAAAAAGAAAGTAAACTAGCCGAGCTGTCCTCCCTTTGCCAGGGTGTGGGTCAGCAGGAGGCCAAGGTCATCAGTCTTTGACTCGGGGACCCTCCAAGGGACTCTGCAGTGCTTGCATGCAACTCGTCATTTATCTTTTACTAAGGATGCCATCCGCTTCCCACATGAGATTCTGTGTCTGTTTTACACCATCCACTAGAGAAGTCAGGTCCACAGCTGGTTCTATCTGCAACATAGTACACCGCGAGCATGAATTTTGTTCACCGAAGCCCAGTGTGATTCCTCTTAACTTAGCACACCTAAGCGTGAAATGAAGTGTGTGCTGTGGACAGGGGAACAATAAATAAGAAAAGGTGGAAATGGCACCAGTCCCACCACCACCATTCCCAACCTCATCCTGCCTGGAGTGTAAGCTAGAATCCCAGGGGCCCTAGCATTTGGTTCTGCATAGCAAAGGGAGACAAACAGTAAGAAGTTGGGTTGCTGATGCAGAAGAGCCTGGGTCTGGGATTCACATCCCAGTTCTGTCCAATTTTATAGCCAGGCCTCTTTCCAGGTACAGCAAAACCGTCTGGGTTTCAGAGCTGCCTGCCGAGATGCAGATACCGTGCTGTGATTGGATGGTCCTTGTTGTTCCAACACCACGTGCATCTGAGAAACAGGGGCCCCCATCAGGTGAAGCCACCCTGAGGGTTCTAGGACACTCGGTGTCTGCCCTCCCAGGAGCCGCTGTGACCCGACAGCCCTGGAGTCTCTTTGGTGGGAAAGGTTGGCTTCAGCTTACAGTGGCACAGGGCTTTCTCTTCCAGCAGGAAATCTTCAGTTCCACCCTCAAATTATGTCTCACTGTGTTTAATCTCATTCCCTGACAGATAATAGGAATTCAGAGGCAAACAGTGCCAGAAGAAATGTTTGTAATGGCTTCAACACAGCCCTGGAGTCAACCAGACACCAAAGCATAGTGATGTGGGGCCCACCGGACTGAGGATGGAAGTCTAGCTCTGTTCTTCAGCTCTCCCCATTCTATGATGTGGATAATCAGAGTACCTATCTGCTACGCCGACCCCTCCCTGGTGAGTGTGGCCCGAGCAAACCCTCCCAGACACCCTGTAGGTGAGTGTGAGTTGCCCTTCTGTATGTTCGTGGGGTGCTGTGGCTTAAACTCTGGCATCGTTCTTCTCCCACCACACCAGAGTGGGGGGGGGGGTCCTCAGCCTGCAACGGTACTGCCTATGTCATCCCTGCATGCTCCTTCCCATCTCCTTGCCCAGCAAGTGCTTAGAACTTGCTTATTTAGTGATTGAAGAACTTTGAGCAAAGTTACTTGGACAGAAACGGATAGCTGTTATAGTTACAGTTATTTCTGCAGCAGAAACGACAATGAACAAAGGGTTCCCCTGTGCTTGGATTGTCTTCCACCAGGGTGGAAAGGAAGATCGTGGTTTCATCCCATGTCCAATTCTGGAAATCTGAGGAAAGAGGTTCCAAATATTGTGAGTATATGTCGAGCAGTCTCTTGGTCCATCAGGCTCCAGTCTAGCCTCCCAGTAGTATTGCTCTGGTCCGTCACCAGAGTTTCTCAAGTGTCCGGTGCACATAGTAGACCCCTGTTCAGCAGGAGGACTACCGAGTGAATTTGGGCCTGGTATTTGAGTATGTGGTACTGTGGCTAGAGCACAGATGTCCCTTGAGACAAGGCTGTGGACAGTATGAAGATGCCAGTGAGGTCCCCATGGGCTCTCTCAGCCTTACCTGGTTGTGGTCCTAGCTTTTTGCCCAAACCCTCCTGTTTGCTGATTTCTCTTGCCCCACCTCTCTCCTTTCCCCACACCTTGCCTTGCCTGGGTATCTGTGACCCTCTGTTGTCCTTACTGTCCGGCTGATAGAGCCGAAGCTTCTTCATCCCACAGCAGCCTGGCCCTCTGACCCTCACACTTTCAGCTTTCTGCTCAGCTCTTCCCCACTCCAGGCTGCTCTGGTGTCCTTGCAGTGTGTCTGCACTGTTTCGGCAAGCTCTGCCTCAGACACTCTTCCCAGCTGTTCTCTCTGTGTGGAAAAGCCTGACCCGTGGAAAACCCTGACCCCAGGTGTCTGCTTGACTGAATCTTCTTCCTCTTCTCATCTGTGTCAAAATGTCTCCTTCTCCATGGGGACTCTGGTTACTCTGTTTGATACTCGCACCTGCAGCTCACTTGTCCATTTCAATATTTCTGATTCAGTAGCATTTCTTCCCCTCCCTACCCTGTCTCTGAAAAATCATTTGTTAACTTATTAAAGGCCATGCTCTGTGTTTAGAGACTTTCCAAAAACAAACAAACAAACAAACAAACAAACAAAAAAAAAAACAATCCAGGCCTTCTCGTCTTTCGTAAATCAGAAACAGAGCTGATTTCATGCTCATCCGGCCCAGAAGGCAGTTCCTTTTCTCAGGGTTTGCCTGTTAATAGAAACCTAAAGGACCGGTAGGTAACCTGAGAGAGTTCAGGTGCCACCTTGGAGGCACTATCTTTTGTCCTTCCAGAGTGGTTTTGAAGGGTCGGTTTGGTCCCTTTGTCATAACCCTGGTCAGAGTCAACCCAGCTGACCTTTAACAGCACTGAAAGGTACCAAAGAAGCCACTAGGGTAGCTAGAGATTGATGAGTCTTACCTTAATATCACAAGGTTTTTAGTACTTACTGATGGGAGCAGATTTTGCTACCTTGTAGCAAATTTTACCTCTCCTTCACCTTAGCTATTGTGAAAAGAAATACCATTCTTCTGTGATTTTCAGTTAGTTCCTTCAGTTGTTAATTTTTTAGATGACACTGAGTGGGCATTTCCACTATCGCACAATATGTTCTTTGCAAATAGCTCTTTAAATTCTTCAGCTAAAATCATCTTTTAAATCATAATCTTAGAAACCAGGTAGTAGCTTTCTCACCTCTTCAGTTTCCCTAAGGCATCGGTATTATGCTGTCACATATGCATTTGTGTGTGTACCATGTATATCTTTGTCTCATGTCCTGCAGCTGGCCTTCATGGCGTGCCAGCTAAGAAAAATGCTGTCACCCACGGTGATGGGTGTTTTCAGGCTTGGGTAGTAGGTGAGTTTCTGTTGACAGTCTTAGTGAAACACAAAACTCTTCATTTGGTTCCTTCAGCTTTCCTCCCAGTTATACCTTTACACTTTGATTAGAATATGATGACTTGGAGATTTTGAACAGCAAGCTTCTGGGTGGGAATCAGGCCTTTTAAGTCATGTGTTAGTTGTGCAGAGAGAGAGAAGGATTATGGGACAACAGCAGGGAAGGAGGGTAAGAGAAATGTGAAGTTCACTGGGAGCACTAGAAGACAGCAAGCCTTCCAAAGGTGTTACCAGTGTCTCGTGACAGCCTAGGCCATGACCATGGTGAAGGCAGACACTGACAGCAGCACCATAGCTATGGGAATACCACGGCTCCCATTCATCTCGACATCTCTTCAGTCCATTCTGCACTATAACCTGTGCTGCACTTACAGTGACAGAGCATAGGCTGCATTATGAAAGAGGTCTAGAGTAGGTTCTTTAGGCCTTCAACACTTACGAAGAGTATGTTATTGCCCTCCTGGAGGTACCCATCCAGGGCCACGGTCCCATTCTCTTTGCTGCGGCTGATGTAGACGTCCCTATCATTGGAGACAAATGTGAAGCAGGAACTCTACCTCTGAGTCACATCCCCAGGTCCCTGGGCAGGGATTTCTGTCAATTCTGTAACCAGATGAACCCTAGCTCTGCAAGCTGCCCTGGCTCAGAGAAGACCATCCGCAGGGTTTGTCGCTGGAAGGGTCGTGTGTCCTTTCCCACTGGACTGAGACCCCTGTTGGGTCCTAGTTTCCCCCATCTGGTAGTGGCCTCAGTGTGCTCAGGCCAGGTCGCTGTGTGGCAGCAGCTGCATCAGTCTGAGGCACAATTATTGCCAAATAGTTCTGTCATCTGAGTCTCAAGGCTGCCCGGTTTCGTTTCAAACCCCACGCACTGACTTTCCAGAAATTTTAATTTAGTCAGCATTTTGGCCCTAGTTTGGAGCCTCAAGTCATTCCTTGAAGTGGTAAGTTGAAAACAAACCGCATCACGTTAGGAAACACTCAGGAGAGCAGTGTGATTAATGTGGTTGGGTGACTATGAGATGCTTTGAACTGTGTGTGTGAACTTGTTTCCCTCATCCCTTTTTCTCATTTTTCAACCTTTTTTTTGTGTTTCAAGAGTAAGCAGAAGATTTCTACCTCCCCCAGTGCTCCGATGACTTGCCCCCAAAGGATCTCACTGTTAAATAATAGTGAGCCCATTCCCATGCCTGTTACAGAGGGAGGCTCAACACACATCCATGAAGTTCCCATTGGCCTTATGGAATTGGAGAATAAGAGAAGTTAGAAACGTTATGGGGTGTGACTCCCTTTTCCCTGACCCTGCAGGTGAGAAGGCTTCCCCAGACTTCACCCCTCCAGAGACTGGCAGCTGGGCTCCACAGTGAATAGTGCTCTGAGGCCAAGGTGCAAGGTGAGTCCCCCAAAGCTCACTTGTCATTAAGAAGGAAGTTTCCCCAGCATGTGATAGACAAGGTGCTCTTGTCTGTGATCCTGGAGGCACTGTCCTCGATACTCTGCAGGTTTGGGAACACATGCGGTAGAAGCAAGGGGTTGCTTGTCCTCCAACAGAGGGTGTTTTGGAAAATGGCTAAAGCTTCCTGCTCTGGTACAATTGGCTTGAAACACTAATCCTGGCATTTGAAGAGAACATCCCATTCTCCACTTGCCTTGTTATCCCATTGTGCACAACGTGGAAATGGCTTGGGTCGTTATCAGGAACCTGTCATGTCACCATGTTCCAAGTTACCAGAGAAGGAACCAAGAGTTCTGTCTCTGAACCTCTCTCTCATGTAGCAGTGTATAACGTGTGGTTAGTCAGAAGTTAATACGATGAAACCATGGGTATCTTAGAGATGGAGGTGATCTTATGGGATAGTTCACTATCATCGGCCCAACCCACATTTCTGGTAAATGATCTGCGCACTTTCATCCTGCATTTCCTGCTGGACAGTAGGGCCCATCCTCTTTCCCTGGCCAGAGATGGCCTTTCACGGCGTCCCTTTCTTTTCCCCAGCCCCAACTTCTGATTTCAGATGTGTCCAATGGGAGGAAGGGTCCAAAGGGGTCTGGATACAGTGCCGTCAGTGCTTCTCAGGTAAAAGTCCCGTAGAGGTTCAAAGGTGCTCCCAAGAGCTAGTGTCTTCTCTTACCCAGCAGTGTCCTGGGATCCAGGCCCTTAATTGTGTGGGTGATGAGCTGCAGCGGTGCCTCTGCCTTGGTTACTTTCTGGGTGTCGTGAGGCCTAGAAGGAAGCAGACCATAATATCCCAGGACAAGATGGGTATGTCCCGTTCGTATTTGGGTGGGGGGCCCGTTTTCCCTTGTCACTGAGATTTCCTCAGCTGTGGCTGAAGGAGGTGCCTTGTCTTTCTAAAGAGCAGCAGGATTCTCAATCCAGGGCAGGGTCTGAAGGAAGCTGACTAAACTGAACATTTTGATAAGGAATGTGGGCTTTGGGGAGCTGAAGTGAACGAAGTCTCAGGATAACCTCTCACTGTTTCTGGACAGTTGTGAAAATGAAACATCAGGAGGAGGTCAAAAACCTCCTGTCTGAACTTGGGAATGTGACAATGTCTCTCTTCCCAGAGTGGAACCTGCTCATAGCTCAGGTGTTTGAGACCCTGGAATACAGAACAAAAGGCAGACCATGCTTGTCTCTGTGACACAGATCTTCCCTCAGCTCAGAACCATCACACCTTGGACATGAACTTCCAGCTACTTCAGGGACCTCACCCTATAAGTCACCAAACCCCAAGTATCCCAGTGCCACGCAGAACCCAGAACGCAATCCAGGAAAGCACAACTCACAGACCTCAAATCTTTGGACACACAATACCTCACACTTGACTGAACCTAGATTGCTCAGCTCAGTGAATGAGGCCAGGGACTCAGAAGAGCCCTGAGATGTCCAGTTCTGAAATATAGACTCAACTGCATGCCAACAACTTCATAACTCACGACTTAAAAACCCAAATAGCTCCCAGACCTCCCACCCTGGACATACAAATCCACAAAAGCTTGGATCCCTACCCTGGTATGCAGGCACATGCACATCTGAGAGGACTGGTACTGAAAACACAGAGACCTCATGCATGAGGGTATGTGTAACCAACATCTCAGAGAAGTCAGAGCCTGGTGCACAAAGCCCAAAGTTTGCAAACCAGGAAATGGTCAACCCCTCAAAATTGCAGCAACCTCAGTCCCTGGGATACAGACTTATGATTGGGTCACAGAGGTCACATTCAGGATCCAGAATCAAAAAAGATCAGACACCCTTGTTTTGGATAACATCTATGATCTCATGAGCATAGGATGAGGAATGTCGGGTTGCATCACATTTTGCACATCGCTACTCTGCAGAGCTCAAACCCTAATTCTGGACATGCAGAACAAAAACTGCAGAGAATGTATATGGTAGACACAGCACCTAAAACAGATCACACACCTCACACACCAGCACACACATTTATAAAAAACCCTGAGATCCTTCACTCTGGACACAAGCCCCTCAGGGCTCAACAGATCTCACATCCTGCACAGACATCCTGAAACGACTCAGACAACTGACAACCTATAATGGGCCAGGGACCTCCCAGTCTGGACGCGGACCTTGAAACAACTCAGAGTTGTGTTAGATGGCCTTAGAAACCTACAAGTTCACCCCTTCTAGGATCCATGCCAGATAGGGCCACAGCCAGGTTTCTCCCAGTCTCCTGAGTGAGACACAGGGGTGGAATGAAAGAGAAAGGAGGGCCAGGCATGGTGGTGCATGCCTGTAATCCCAGCAGTTTGGGAGGCAGAGACAGGAGTTTTGTGAGTCCAAAGCCAGCCTCAGCAATTTTCAAGACACTATGCAACTCAGTTCAGCCCTCACTGTAAATAAAATACAAAAATTGGGCTGAGGCTGTGGATTAGTGGTTGAGTGCCCCTGAGTTGAATCCCTACTACCGAGAGAGAAATAGAGAAGAATGAGAATGAACCCCTACATCTGGGCCCTGGTCCAAGCACCTGAGTATCCTTTTCCAGGGGATGAAGACCCAGGTTCTGCCCTCAGAGGCTGCTTCTGGGCAGTGATTCACATATACCGAGGCCTGATGCACCCTGGAGTCCTGTGCCTGCCAGATTGGGGATATGTTCTAGGTTAAGATGTCTTGTGCCATCCTGGAAATGAACCCTCATTGCCCTCAGGCTTGAGATGCCCTTATGCCACAGAATCACTCTTTGGGTAAGGAGAGGCTGAGTGTGTCCCTGTGAACGAACCACAATGGTCTTCTAGTGGTCATAGCAGAGCTGATGCTTCAGGGAACCCGCCTCCAGCTCAACAATGGACCTCCTGCCCAGCATCCTGTTCACCCTGAATGGTGCCCTTCTGACTCTTGAGCATGTGGATCCAGGAGCCCCCTGATTTCCTCTGCCCTCCTCAACCCTGAACAGATGGCCCTCTGCAGATCTTTTGAGCATGAATGACTCAAGATTAAAAGGGGAGATGGTGAAAGTGTTTGCCGCAGAGTGCCAGGGCTATATGACACAGACCGTACAACCCCGCCCCCTCATCAACCCCTCACTCCCAGTCCTTTCTGTCCTCCTCTGAGTATGCTTGTCCCCTCCTCCCAATTCATAAATCAGGTATAAAGGGAATGGGGTGTGAGGGTCTCTGTACTTACACATAGCTTGGTGTAAGTTGACAGAGCAGATATATTCCCGCACATAGACCATGAGAGCAACCCTGGTGTAGGACTGTTTATTCATGGGCAGTCACAGCTGGGAGGCTGTGCTGTTTTGGGACTGAGGCTGATGTGGCCTTGCTAGTGGGCCTCATCTTCTTTGGAGACACACACTGGCTCATATCTGATCCCCTGGTGGATCTCCACTCCCTGAGGACTCAGTCTCATACCTGCAGTGTTTCTGGAGATGTTTCAACAAAGTCAGGGCTTAATTGATGCCTGGTGATAAATTTGTTCCCTTAAGAATCCACCTAAGCCCTAATTACCAAGATGCTCTCAACATCTCTGCTGCCTAATGCCTAAAAACACATCATTTGAGCATTTACTTCTTTTTATGGATCAGGTTGCCGTCTCCCTGGAGGAATCAGGACTGGTTCTGGAGGAACCCAATCCTCTTTGAACTGCACCCATGGGTATTCTGGGGAACATATTTCTGACTGTGAATGGTTTTCTTGGTGTGTCTGTAAACTGATATTGGGCTTTCAGATCAATATAATGGGATCCAATCAGCATTTATCAATGAGCCAGTGATCTTACTGACCTGGTAATACCTTAAGCCTTTTGTACAGGTGAGTCGACTGAGGTTCCAGGGCAGGATCCTGAACTCTCCCAATCCACCTCCACTTTGCTATTTGAAGCCCCACCTTTGGGGCTGTATGTTTCCAAACTAGGACAATACCCCTGACACCCAGACCATGCATGTTCTCTAACCTGGAAGGTCCTGAATGGGCAATCACATTAACCACATAGATTTTAGTGTCATCCTTAATTTCTGCCCTGCTGCTCCACCCTGGGACCATTCACTTATCTCTTCACCCTTGTTCCTGGCTGCACTAGGGCTAGATCTGTAGAGCCAAGTAGCTGGGCCCATAAATGGAATGATGGTGACCTGAGAGGCTGCAGAGGCCTCACCCTGACTGGATGTGTGGAGGTTCCTGCTTGGTGGGGAGCCCAATACACATGACACAGAATGGTTTATTTTAAAATACAGGGCTCCCTTCCCCAGTGGTGTTTCCCAAAGTGTACTGCTTCATCTGGGCCACTAAAGTGGTACATTTCAGTGCAGGGAGGTTTCATCCAGCCTGTTCCTTCTCAGTGTCCCCAGTGTCTGTGATTCTCCCAGAAGGGGCTGTTTCAACCTATTTCTTTTAAAAGTTGTTTTTATTGGTGCATTATCATTATACATAATAGTGGGGTTCCTTTGACCTAGTCATACGTGCGTGGAATATAAGTTGCTCCATTTCAGTCCCTGGTGCTAATTTTAGGCTGTTTCTAATGAGTCTTTTCATCTCTATCCCTCACCCCACCCCGGACAGTACATCCAATGGGTGTTGCCTTTGTGACCCTGACACTGCTCAGTGGACGATTCCATTCCCATCTCACTTCTCCTAATATTGTCTAATGGGCCACGCCAGTTGCATATTCCTGTTCTTGTAGAGTGCCTAGTGTAGAGTCCAGCCTCCTAGCTGGAGCCCCTGCCCCGGGAGTGGTACTTAGGATGTCACGAATGGGACATTCCTTCCCCTCCCCACTGACAGAACTGTGAATCAACAAGACAGCTGCAGGTCTCTGTGTCTGCATCGATCATTAAATTCTACCACCTCCCCCTCAGTGGAGGGAGACTGTTGTTCACTATATTCTTTGCTTTCTCCCCAGCACCTAGAACAGTGTCAGGCACAGAATAGGCCCTCCATTGATGTTGGTAAGGAAAGCATCCTTTGACCTGGCAATTCCATGGCCAACGGTATGTCCTGGGAATGCATAGTTTGTCCTGATCACAGTGCCTTTCTCCATGGCGTGGTATTAATGGAGAGTAGCAAGAAGGAGATGCTCATACCTACCCAGTGAGTGTGTTTTCATGCACGTGCAAATGTGTGTGTGTGTGTGTGTGTGTTTGTTAACGTGTATATGTGCACACTTGGGGGCATGTGTGTGTGCATGCATGTATGTACACAGATCTCACATGCATGGACTAGAAAACTTACAATTAGTGTCAATTATACTCCCCAAGGAGATCTTATGACTCGTTGCAATCCCTATCAAAATTCTAATTACTTATCTCCCTAAATTAACAAAATGGTGCTATAATTCTAATGAAATGAAAGTCTCCTGCAAAGAGGATGTAGAGAAAAAGGAACACTTTTACACTGTTGGTGGGATTGTAAATTAGTGCGACTACTATGGAAATCACAGTGGCGGGCCCTGAAAAGACTAGGCATGGAAATCCCGTATGACCCAAGTATATCCCTCCTTGGTATTTTTCCTGAATTAAAATCATACTACAGTGGTATGTGCATACCCATGTTTATAGCAGCACAACTCACAATAACCAAACTATTGAACTAGCCTAGTTGTCCAATGGTTGAATGGGTAAAGAAAATGTGGTATGTGTACTCAGTGGAGTTAATTATTAAGCCATAAAGAAAAGTGAAAGTATGTCATTTGCAGGAAAATGGATGGAACTAGAGACATTATGTTTAGCAAAGTAAGTCAAACTCCAACCATAAAAGGAGCTATGTTTTCTCTTATATGCGGAAGCTAGAGAGGAAAAAGGAAAAGAAAGGTGGAAATGAAAGTTTGGTCTGTACAGGAAAGGCACCAAGGAGTGGGAGGTGGGGATGGAAGGAGGGAGTGCTTGGGGAGTGATATTGGCCAAAGTATATTGTTGTGTGCATGTACGAGTATGTACCATCAAATACCACCATTATGTACAATTCTAAAGCCCTAATAAAAATGTAGGGGAAAAAGGCTTCCACAATAGCCAAAACAGTCTTGAAACACAACAAAGTTGCAAGATTCACCCTCCCTGATTTGAAAACCTACTATAGATTTACTGCATTCAAGACAGTGTGGTACTGACATAATTTTAGATAGTGGCATAAAATGGAGTTTTCTGAAAGCCGTATTTCTGTGGTCAACTTATTGTTGTCAAGGATGAAAAGTCTTTTCAGTGGATTGTCCTGGCATAACCTGGATGTCCATACACAAAGGAATGAATTTAGACCTGTATGTCACACTGTCTACAATTAAAATGAATTACAGACCTAAATGTAAGACTTTAAAATTATCGGAAGAAAACAGAGACATAAGTCTTCAAAAACCTTGGTTTGGGCAACAATTTACTAGATGTGACATGGATGCACAAACAACCCAAGGCAAAATAGATAATGTGGCATCACCAAAATTTGAACTTTTATACTTCAAAGAATACCATCAAGAAAGTGAAACGTCAACCCAAAATATAAGAAAAAAGTTTTGCAAATCATATGTGATAAAGAACTTCTACCTATAAAACACACTCACTCACCTCTCAACTCAATAGAAAAGAAAACCCAATTAGAAGATGGGCAAGGAATCTAAATACAGTTTGTCCAGAGAAGATATCCAAATGGCTGATAAGCACATGAAAAGGAGCTCCATATCATTAGCTTCAGGGAAATGTGTCTATGAGTCAGTCATGTTGAGATAGCACTTTATACCTGCTAGGATGTTTTCCAAAAAACATGTTGGTTAAGTATGTGAAGAAAGTGAAACCCTCATAAGATGCTGGTTGGAATGTAAAATGATGCAGTCACTTTGGAAACAGTTCCACGAAATTAAATACAGAGCATCATGTGGCCCAGAATTCCACTTCTTGGTACATATCCCCCCAAAATGAAAACTTATGTCCCCACAAAAACTTGTGTATGCATGTTCAAGAATTATGTTTAATTTTCAAAAGGGTAAATAATAGAAATCCCATTGGACTGACAAATTGAAAAATAAATGTATATCCATATGGAATCCCACTAAACATCAATAAAAAGAAATCATGGATGAAACTTGGAGACCTTTTGGGAATTCAAGCCATTTAGAAAGATACCACCTGTTGTATAATACCATTTTTTTGTGTAAAGTTTAAAATATGCAAATTTATTTATTTAATTTTGGGGGAATAAAACCTAGGGTGCCTAAAAACTGAGTCACATCCGTAGCATGTTTTGTTTTAATGCTTTTTAAGATAAAAAGTCATAGTTGGGTACAATAACTTTCTTTTATTTTCATGTGGTGATGAGACTCAAACCAAGTGCCTCACATGTGCTAGGCAAGCACTCTACTACTGAGCTACAACCACATCCTCACCTTTTGAGAGAGCGACTCATTTGCTGTGGGACTTGGTAAGTTGCTGAGGCTGCCTTTGAACTTTTGATCATCCTGCCTCAGCCTCCCATGTTGCTACGATTATAGGTATGTGTCACCTTGTCCAATTTCCAGAAGAGGAAAATTTATATAGACAGAAATTAGATTGGTTATTCTCTACAGATGGGGATTGGGGAAAAAAGGAGGAAATAAGAAAGGACTGCTAATTTGTTTGGGATTTTTCTGGGGATGATTAGAGTGTTCTTCGGTTGTGGTGTTGGTTTTACAATTTTGTGAATACACTAAATATCATTGAATTGTTAATGTTAAATGGTCAGTTGTAGGTTGTGTGAATTGTATTCCAATAAAGCTGTTACAAAAAGTGATGTAAGTGAATGATTCTTATGATTATCTGTAAATGACTGAGTTGTGAAAATGCTGTCATGTCATGCTGTCATGTCATGCTGTTAGATAATAAAGGAAATTGAGCCAAAGTTCTATCCCTGCAGTGATTCATGGCTCAGAACCAATTTGTCTAATACTTGGTACATATATGTCACATATTCACTGCCTTCATAGATATCTTCTCAGTACTTTCCTAAGAATTGAGAAAATGTTTTCCAATTGGGGTCATTACAAAAAAGTAATTAACTCAATACATATTTAATGAGATTCATTATATTTGATATATTATCTTCAAACAGCATTGCACCCTCTGTATTCCAATCAATCTGAGCCTCTTTCTGTTTATTACATGTCCCACACTCTGATTTACACACCCTTACATGTACTTCTGGGATGCTTTTCCTACCATTTTTTCTGCTGAGTTGAGATTTACCTTCAGCTCTTGGGTTACACTTATCTTCCCCTAGGATATTTGCCTGAAATCAGGTTATTTTCCTGTTCTGTACAGAAAGAGTCCATTCATTGACCTCCTTTAATAGAAAGCACTTATCACAATCTTTGCTCAGAGACTAGGAGCTCCTTGTGGGAAGGGATCATGTCTATCTTTTCCTTCTCTGAGCCCGTGGACTGAACATAATGTAGGTTTTTTTTTTAAATATTTCTAGTCATAATTAAATATAAAACATTAGTGATGGGCAATAATCAAATATGAAACCATAAATGGAATTTCTGCTTATTCAACAAGGGTTAAATCTGGATGGAAGAAAATAGTTTATAAACTATTTTTACTGAGTGGAACATGATGGAGATTTATTAAAAATTCCACGAACATCAATATTTTCAGATTCAAATGAGCTATGGGAAAGCTGCAATCTAAAAGCTATGTGTTAAGGAAAAGTTTCCTTGCTCACAATAGGACCCACACAGGAAGGGTCAGGCCTTTATTTTCTATTGAATGTTATGTCCAGATGGTACCCAGGCCTATGGCTAAAATTTTGGTAAAACAAGATCAAGAACAAAAGCCTATTCAGTAAGGTTAGAAGCCAGAATGTGGAGTTTGTTTATGAGTTATTAAATTTGTCATACCTTGAACCATTATACCAGTGGATTTTTTGATGCATAATTTTTCTTTATAGGTTTTTATCCTAGCTAGGATAGGATAACTGAGTTATCCTAGCTCTGTCAAGGGTATTATTTCTGGTCCCACATCATTACCGGAGAGACAAGGATCAGTTTATTACTGACTTGGGAACCTCCCAGGGACTTTGACAAGCCTACCTACTTTGGTTCTTGAGATGGGTTAAACTCACTCAAGGCTGTATCATTTCCTATAATATCCACTTAAAGGATGGAGACTCTAATTTTGGGAGTGGGCTACTGCATGAACTATGAGAGCTAATTCATATTTGCAATGTATTGTTTTACCTACTCTTAGCCCAACTCACTTAGGGATGAAGTGAAGCGTGTGCCTCGAATGTGTAAACCAAAAGAATTGGACTGGAGTAACCTCATTCCATCCTAGTACACTGGTGGTCTCATTGATATGTTGGCTCTGGTAAGCGTGGGAGGATGACTCCTGTGTGTGGCATTGTCAACTCATTTTTGGTATAAATACCTCTGCTGTTGCTGAATTAAAGCTGCTAACAATTTCATAAATGTTTTACAAGATTCTTGCATATTTATGGGTCAGCTTGTGTGATGTGATCTGGCTACAGCATTCCACTGAGTGTTGCCAAACTAAGGGAGATTTGGGGGGTTCCTGGTGCCTTTGTTCTCACAGATATGCTCCTTATATAGGCCCATGGTTAATGGCAAGGTTATGATAGGCTGTGGCCCTGAACTCATGTTGTCTATACTATGGAGAGAAGGGAGCCGTGGCAGGTTTCACAGCCCAATTCCAACAGAGGAGATGGAATTATAGGAACTATGTTCCAGTCTTTGTCCAGGGTTCAAAACTTATCTATGCCTCTCACACTCCTACCCCTCAGATATATACCACAAAACTGAGGCAGGCAGAGATACAGTAACTTTGCTAAACCCACAGACAAGTGTTGGAGCTTGGATTCTTCCTCAGACTTTACTTTCCCCCAAACCAGACTTCTTAGCATCTCTGTTATGAGGCCTTTCCTAGGAAATTGGTACAATAAATCAGAATATTGTACTGATGAGTTCTGGGAACAGGACAAAGGCATGTTTATTTGAATGATATCTCACAATCACTAGTCTAAAGAGAAACTTGTTACAGTGACTTGCTTTAACAAGGGAAAATTATTATCCACAGAACCAGATTGTTGTACCAAGGTTGAAACCCTTTGAATCCTATTCTCTGGAAAAGATACTAAAATATGTAAGCAAATAAAGTTGGAGAGCATGAGGCATAACAGTTAACTTCATACACCCCTGGTGAGACTGGAATGTAGGCTTGCTATGTGCATCATGATTTAAATGTAAAATCAGTTTGATTTAGACACATTACTTCCAAAAGACTTAAGGAAATGATTGGACAGATAAAAATTTCTAAGCAATGGTATTTAACCTACATACATTTGAAAATTTGAACAAGTGGAATGGACGTTAATACACACCTGTAAAGTTTTGATTTTGAGAAATATACTACTTCCATGCATGGGGTGATATGCATTTAAACTTCTAGGTGTCTTTTTTTGGCATGAGAATGCCGTTTTTTGGACACATAAACACGAAACATCCCTGAAAGCCACAATATTGCATTATCTTTTCTCACATGGGGATTCTACTCCATCTTGGACTTCAACAAGTCCTCCTGCTCCTAATACACTCCATTTCCCCCTCCTTTGGGTCTAAAAGCATGCTGAAGAATGTTTTGTGTGCTCCTTCTGAACTACTGTGAATAAAAGCAACAACAGCCTTTCACCAACATGTCCTGATTTGTATTATCCAAGTAAGGAAAATCTTTAAAAATTACATCTGTGGGGCTGGGGCGGTAGCTCAGTGGTAGAGTGTTTACCTAGCACAAGTGAGGCCCTGGGTTCGATCCTCAGCACCACATATAAATGAATAAATAGAATAAAGGTATTAAAAAATTCCTACCTTTTAAAAAATTACATCTGTTATCTCTTCACTCCTGTCTATTGTGTGCTTCAGTCACAGAACTTCTTTTCTTCCCACTAATTACAGAGATTAAGGATGTTTGCACTTAGTGTAATGAGGTATAGGGCTTGGTAGACATTGTAAAACTTTCAGAGACCAGTCTTAACAAACACTGGTGGCACCACTGAGCAACAGCACATGGAGATGTAAACTTCAATATGTATACAAACTTGTTTAAAAACTGAATAAAAACAGTGTTTTATGCTGAGATTTTTTTTGAGTACTGAGGATTGAACTCAGGGGAACTTGACCACTGATCCACATTCCCAGCCCTATTTTGTATTTTATTTAGAGACAGGGTCTCACTGAGTTGCTTAGCGCCTCACTTTTGCTGATTTTGGCTTTGAACTTGCAATTCTTCTGCCTCAGCCTCCCAAGCTGCTGGGATTATAGGTGTGTGCCACTGTGCCCAGTTTATTGCTGGGATTTTGAGAAGGCTAGTTTAAGAGATTCAGACAAACTAGTGAGTTCAAACATCCTTCACCATCTGATCCTGTGTTACCACCAGCAGGTTCCAGATGGGTGGCAAATTGATTTTACTGCATCATGTCTCTTACCCCAGTACCTTCCTTAGCCATATGAAGTGTGGCTCTGGGCCCTTTCTCTCTCATTCCTGTGGTTCCAGGATAGAGAATAACAAGTCAGTAAAATGTGGACTGGGAAACACTGGCTGGAACTAACAAGACTATGTAACTGTTTTCTTTATAATGTTTTATCTACACTAAATACAAAATACATTTTCCCTTCCATTTAACTGATTGTTATTTTGGATAACCCCCCCTTTGTTTGGGCAAGAAAGGAATACTGTCTCTCTCTGAGTGGAATCCAAAATATATTAAGAAAAATCAACCTTTTCTACACAGTTTTATTTTAATGGAAGGAAAACCTACCACATACATTTCAGATGGAAAGAGAAGCAAAACAAAACAAAACACTGCAAGTAATTGACCTTGGTTCCAAAGACAAAGATTTTTAAAAGTTGGGACTTTTCTTTGCAAGGGCAGCAACAATGTGCCTTATAGACTGGCAAAGCTTATCCAATAAGGAACTGTCCTGGTTCTACCTTATTTTAAAACAAAGTGAAAGGACAGCAACTCTGAGTATAAAATAGTTAAAAATAATTCTTTAAAAAAGACATGGAGACATATGTGTTTCCTAACTGGTTTTAGAAATTGCCAGGTTATGATATAAAAAGTAGCTGATGAAATAATATCAAAATCTCATCTAGAAAACTACATCATCAGGGGAGGAAAAAAGGGACTTGAAAAAAATGCTTATTGCCAAAGTTGACTTTCTGTAAGTTGAAAGATCACTTAGATTGAACAAACCACAGAGCAACATAAAATGGGCACTTTTGAAGATTTTGAAAAATTATAAAAGCTGTTTTTTTTTTAATAGGGACAAACTTGAATACTATGACACTATTATCTTTCATCGTAACATGGATTACATGTGTTTATGTGACACATTTACAAAAGTCAACCAAATAAGGGAACTGCCTGTTTGAATCTGCCACTGAACCCAGTGCAATTGCTTGGCAGCCTGTACTTTCACCAGTGCTGCAGTCTGGCTGGGCACAATTCACGAGCCACTTGTCAAGCAGGAACGAACTTTATTTTTTGAACGCACGCTGCACCACGCGAGCTCTCCAGGAATTCCCCGAGAGCCCAACTGCCACCACCAGCTCTTCCGGGGAGCACCTCAACCAGAACCCTTAGGTACCCCCTCTTGAGGCAGATTGGCTGGGTTGCGTGGGCGGAGCCAAAAGAGTCCCCCCAATGAGCAGCTCCGTGGTCTGAAAGGGCAGGGAAACAGCCCAATGAGCATCACCGCAGAGGAGCCAATCAGCTGGAAGTTTGCTTGGGCCGTGGTGAGCCAATCAGCTGGAACTTTGCTGGGGCCGTGGTGAGCCAATCAGCTGGAAGTTTGCTGGGGCTGCTTTAGCTGCGGCTCTCAACATCTCCCCCTCTCTGTTTAATTAAACAACAAGCATGTGGCTTAGGGACTGTGCCTGTCTTAGGTTGTCCAATAGTACATATGGTCCTTACCTGTCATCAGATGAGCTGACCTCAAGGCGTCAGCCTCCTGTCTTAGGTTGGTACCATTGCAATTGGATCTTACCCGTCATTGACTACGGGTCCAGCATACAGCCACACCTGTGGATAGGCCTTTGTACCAGTGTGGGGGGGTGAGGTTCTTTGCCTCACCTCTGTTGGCCCCCAAATTTTAGCTGAACGACCATCACAAGCAGAAGGGAGGAGGATACAAAATGCCACGACACCAAGCCAATTGACGGCTCCTTTTGGAATAATTGTACCACTGATGACATCATCAGCAAAAATACCCCAGCACTATTACACATCGCTGCACCAACAGATAGTTCACAATGCATACAAGTGAGTTCACAATGCATACAAGTGATACATAGTCCAGGCAAGTTCTGCGAGCAGTTCAGTGATAGCTATTGCAGAAGCTGTCGTTTGGTTTTATCTTTGTCTTCACCGGCACTGGGATGGTGATAGGAATTCTGGCAATGATGGCTAAAGAAAAAATTATGTAACATTCCAGCAGGCACTAAAAGAAAGCAATTTTCTGAACAATTACATTATCCTGAACAGAATTATTAAATATAATGAAAAGGAAAGGTGAAAGTAAACAAATGAAAAGGAAAGGTGAAAGTAAACAAATGAAAAGGAAAGGTGAAAGTAAACAAACAGATCTGTTAACCTCCTTTTTTGTTCACATATTAAAACAATCCTCAACAGCTGTTTACCCAATTTAAATTAAACCATTTAAATCATGTGAATAAGAAAAAAATATTTGGATCCATTTTTTCATGAGTGCTCGTCATATATGATATACGGACATTCGCACATACAAACATACAACACAAAACACAAGTGTGCACACATAATATAATACATACAACACATAACATAATAGTAAAGGCCTTGTACCTTTTTCAGGTGGAATCTCCATTGCAATGTTTCCACATCTCTCCCCACTGGAGCCATACCATCCAGTTCATCATCAAATTCTGCAAACTGGGAAAACTCTCTCCGATGGTGTTCTGGAAATGCCCAATGAGCATCATCACAGAGGAGCCAATCAGCTGGAAGTTTTCTGGGGCCACTTTGGCTGCGGCTCTTAACACACCAGCAGCAGAAGTCTGCAGAGATCACTAAGATAAAATAGTAAGACTAATAAAACTCTATACAACTTTGAAAGATTAATGCCAGTTAAGGGCATTTACAGTGGCAGAGTCAGAAATATCCATTACACAGTCTGTGGGCACCCCAGTGCACATGTGTAGAAGCAGGGGCACACAGTGGCAACAGGAGATACTCCCGTCCTGCTTGGAGACCCAAGGCTGTGCTCCACTTTCCTTGCCTCTGCCTCTGACATCCTTTCAGCTTTCATCCCTAGATGAGGGGGCAGCTTGTGAGGTTGAGTGTTCCAGGCTGAGGGCACAGAGAGCTCAGCTCCAGGAGGCCATGGTAAGCATGGCTTTGGCAGGCAGGAGATGTGAAAGGTAGCCAGATGGAGCTGGGAGATGCAAGACCACACAATATTAAACAATTGAAGAGATTGAACCAGGTCATATTTCTAGTAAGCTCTAATGACAGGATGTGCTAGAGCTTTACCAGCCAATCAAAATTGCCTATTTCAATGATATTGTTGTAGGTGCAGTGTGCTGCAGAGTGGATCATTCACAGGATCAGAAGAGACGAGATCAGAAGAGAAGAGATGTCTTGCACATTACCGAAAGCTAGGAATAGGAACTAAAATGTTAAATAATGCCTTAAAGATCTGTGGAAAAGATGGCACTTATTTTGGCGGGGGGAGTACTGGGCATTGAACTCAGGCACTGGACCACTGAGCCACATCCCCAGCCCTATTTCGTATTTTATATAGAGACAGGGTCTCACTGAGTTGCTTACCTCCCTCCTTACTTTTGCTGAGGTTGAACTTGTGATCCTCCTATTCCAGCCTCCCAAGCCATTGGGATTACAGGCATGCACCACTGCACCAGGCATGATGGCACTTTTGACAACATCTGTTTACATGTTTGGATCAGCAATGAGCCAGTAATTGATTTCTACAGGAAGTTTGGCTTTGAGACTATTGAGATGAAGAAGAACTACTGTAAGAGGATAGAAACTGCAGATCATATCCTCATGTCCTTCAGAAACCCCCCAAGTTTCTTCTGGTCAGAATGCAGATGTATAGAAGGCAGACAACTGAACAAATTACAAATGACCTATCTTGTACTTCCTTGTTACCAAATAAAAATGAATCACATCGATCCTCCACCTTTTCTTAAGGTCTCGTCCCTCCTTGTTCTTGTTTTTTCTTCTTTATTTTATTCCTCTAAAAGTTTTTTAGTTTCATAGTTAAAATACATAGTCCCCAAAATTTGGGTGTCAGATGATTTTTAAAAAATAAGCTGGGACAGGACTGGGTTTTGTTCAGATCATTTTTTGGGGCATGTAGAGAGTGACTTTAACAGGTTGATAACTTTTTATAAGAAAAGAGACATCTGAAATACACGTGTATTCATCCTATTTTCCCATCTTAAATAGTTAGAACTTTAATATCAGTAGTGATGGCTCATGAAACTTTCTTATTGGGCTTTAAAACAATGCACAGGACTTGAATTTTCTGTCATTTGACTTTAAAAGGGAGTTTTATAATAAGTTTTATAAGTCATGGTGTTTATTTTCTTATGTAAAATTCTGGCATAAATATATCATCTTCAAATAGATTAAATAACAATTATTTTATGGGATATTTGTACATGCTTTCTTAACCTTAAGTTTTTATTTGAAAATGTGGAAGTAAAATAAAATAAAATACACTTCTGTAGTCTTAACTGAATGCCAAGAAAAATACAAGAAAGGAAGATGGTTGATGACTAAGTTTATAGGGCTCTAATTTGAAATTAGTAAAAATGTAGAAAAACCATGCTGGTATTTTCAGTGTAAGTTCCTTAAATAATCCAAATATAGGCCTAGAAGAAAAGTTTAGCATTAAGTACCTTTACCTTTGTGGATAAGCTTCAACTTGTTCTTGCCAAGAGAACAGTGCTTGAGTTATAGAAAGCATAATTAGTGTGAAGATATCAGATATAAAAATAGATTTTGATATATAACTGAGTTTTCTTAGATGACACTGCCTCTATTTCTATAAGCATTTCACCTGGACTATTTAAGCAGTCCTATGAATGTGATTATCAAAAACTTAATAACTGGGTTGGGGTTGTAGTTCAGTGGTAGAATGCTAGCTTAGCACTTGTGAGGTGCTGAGTTCGATCTTCAGCGTCACATAAAATATAAATAAATAAAGGTATTGTGTCCACCTACAACTAAAAATAAACCTGAATAGCTGCCTCACAATTAAGTATATGTCACCTTTTTAAAAAATTTTATAGTTGTAGATGGACAGCATGCCTTTATTTTATGTTTATTTATATGTGGTGCTGAGAATTGAACCTAGTGCCTCACACATGCTAGGCAAGCACTCTGCCACTGTGATATAGCCTCAGCTCCTATATATCTCTTCTTAAGAGGGAAAAATATTAGAGTTTGAACTGAGTGTGTAGGCTCCCTATCATCATAATTTCTTTTTCCACACTAATCAATGACCTAACCTAAGTTCCAAGTGTTTGTAAAAGGTTAATTGTCCTACATATAAACTTGTATTAAATAATCCCATCCACTAGATAAAAAGATGTGGCAGTGGTAGAAGCTGGGCACAGGACACATGCCTGTGATTTAGTAAAGAGTAAAGTAATGTCCATGTTAAGTTAGTTATTTTGATACATGATGAAAAATAATCTTTCAGGTAAAATAGTCTGTTAACTGGAAGATCATAGAATATTTCCATCATATTTTTCAGGATTGATAGTTTTTGCTGTAAGTCACATTGGTTAAAATGGTATTACATGGTCTTTGCACTTGGGTTCTAAATAAAATAATGTGTAGAAAAATCTATAATTTTCCATATTAGTTTTCATATGGGGAAAGGAGTTCTGAAATATCTCCAAAGCAGTTTACTCATCAGTTGAAAGTCCTCCAAAAAGAGAACTGTTGGGAATTTGTAGTGTGTAATCACGGGAAAGCTCCTTTAGTTTTTGGAGGGAATAACTTTACGACTACTTAAATGGCTAAGTTTACTTGGCACAGTTAAGATTCAAACTTGTCAATATTAATATTGATGTTACACATGAAATAAACATATATGATATTCTGGAGAAAATGTTTATCCTTCCACCCAATTGGTTGTATTGAATTGAAGTGGATTGTTCAGTTTTTCCCTCCCACTTTGTATACCCGCATTCAATGAACACAGAATAAAGGACTATGTTTATAAGACTACAGGGAAGTGATGGAACACCAGAGCTAACAAAATATTACATAGAAACCTTTTGTGTAGGGCTGGGGCTGTAGCTCAGTAGTAGAGCACCTGCCTCACATGTGTGAGGCACTGGGTTCGATCCTCAGCACTACAGAGAAATAAATAAATAAAGATATTGTGTCCATACAACTAAGAAAATTTTTAAAAAAGAGAACCCTTTTGTGTAAAGGCCTTTAGAAAGTTTAGGCTGACCATCCTTTGCATGTTGAGGTAAAAATACCATCCACTGCATTAGAAAAGATAATTTATAAGTATGTATTGCTTTAAAACTGACTCAGTTTTTGTTGATGCATTAGACAGTGTTGCAAAGTGTAAATTCAGTGCAACTTTTCTGAGCTGCTGCTAGATTACCTTTGAAGTCAGCTTGGGTCTATCTAGCATTTGAAACATTGTAAGGTTGCTTGGGGTGCCAAACTGATTATTTTCCGCAGCTCAAGCAAAATACATTGTGTGCTGGTTATCATGGTGGCTCTGCACAGCCTTAGCCAAGGTCTGAGGATCCTAGGCTGTTTTCTGTCCTTAGACACAAATCATTTCTGCACTGACATTATCTTTATCATCAAAGGATACCTTTCCCTAAATGCTACAAGTTGGGCATATTATGCAGGGACTGGAATGGAGACTGAGCGTCTGTTTCTTTTTAATTTTTTTTTGGGGGGGAGGTGGTACCAGAATTCAACTCAGGGGCACTTGACAACTGAGCCACATCCCCAGCCCTATTTTGTATTTTATTTAGAGACAGCATCTCACTGAGTTGCTTAGTGCCTGGCTTTTGCTGAGGCTGGCTTTGAATTCATGATCCTCCTGCCTCAGCCTTTGGAGCCACTGGCACACAGCTTGGGTGTCTGTTTCTTTGCAGACAGCATAAGCTACAACAGTGTAGCAATATCTTTAATGTAGTGAAAGAAAAATATTAATTAGTCTGGAATTATATATCTAGTGAAAAACACTTTCAAAAACATTGGAAAAACGAAGACTTTTTCAGAAGCACAAAAGGAGAATTTGTCACCAGCAGACTTATGACAAGAGACTTTATTTAATTTTATTTTTATAGCACTATTGTGATGTAATTGATGAATGAAATTGTATATATTTAAGGTGTACAATGTGATGATGCGATTGTGAAATTATTACCACAATGAAGTTGGCTATTCATTACCTATATAATTACGTTTTTGTGCTATGAGAACATATATATTTCAAGTATACAATATTGTATTAATGATAACCATTATGCCATAAAATAGGTCCTCAGAACTTATTTACGTTATAACTAAAAGTTGGTACTCTTTGACCAACATTTCTCCATTCTTCTATACCCCCACCTTGCCTTGCCCCAGCTCTTGGTAACCATCATTCTACCCTTTGTTAAGAGTTCTACATTTCTTAGGTTCTACTACATTTTAAGGCTTGAGAATAATCCTCTTTGGCTTGATGCTATGTTCTTTGGGCTCAATGGAGTGCCAGTTCTGCCTTCTGGGCCATAAGTATAGGTCCTGCTCCCTTGCTTTTGGGCAGAAACTCCCTGAAATTCAGGAGGTTGCTCTACCCTCTGAAATTGAGGAGGAAGTTAGCTCCATGCTCCTGAGTTGGCTATTTTGGCCTATAGTGGCAGTGGCAGACTTGCCAACATCTACATCTGTGGCTATTCCCTCAAAGTTATTCTTTTTAAATTTTGTTCCATTTCATTCCCTTTCATTCCCAGTTAGCCGTACTTCAGAATTCTCAAGAACCTTGTTGGCCTCTGATACAATTCATGGGGTCCAGGCCAATGTAACACGAGTTCTCCACAAATCTTTACTAGATAAGTGCAGCTGTATTCCTGGCTTCTGCTGAGATGGCTGGTTGAATACACAATTTGCATACCTAATCTCTAGCAAACAGTTCTAGCTCTAACCTTGGGCTTGTTTCCACAGCATGCTACTTCAATAGGCAGAGAAGCTTTCAAATCATCAGTGATCTCTTTTTGCTTAGCATCTCCTTTTCACCTTACTCTCCCCTCTTGCACTTTGTTACAAGCAGTATAGAGAAGCCAGATAAGATTATTGACACCTTGCTTAGAAATGTCCTTAGCTAAATATTGGATTTCATCACTTAACAAGTTGTACTTTACAACAAGGAGAATGCAAGTAAGCCACATCCTCTGCTCCTTTATAAGGACTATGTGTCCTTCAGTTTCTAATAACATGCTCATGTTTACCATCTAATATCTTATCAAAAGCACATTTAATATTCATATTCATAGCAACATTCTCTTCATGATGATACATATATTCTCTAAGATGACAGAAACTTTCTCTACAACTCTCCTCTTTTCTTTCTGGTCCTCAACAGAATTTCTTTAATATCCAAATTTCTACCAACAGTCTCTTCAATGAAATGTAGACCTTTTCTATCAGACACCTCAGAATTCTTCTAGCATCTCACTTTCAAACTACTTTGACATTTTTAAGGTATTTGTTACAGCAGCATTCTGTTTTCTGGCACCAAAGTCTGTAAAAACTTTCTAGGGTTGCTGTAACAAATTATCACCAACTGGGTGGTTTAAGCAAAATAAATTTATTGTCTTACACTCCTGGAGGCAAGAAGTCTAAAATCAGAGGATCAGGAAGATTGGTTCATTCTGAGGTCTGTGAGGAAGAATCTGTTCCATACCTGTCTCTAAGTTTCTGTTGGTTTGCTTGCATTGTCTGACATTCTTTGGTTACTAGATACATTACCCATCTACCATCAATTTACATAATTTTCTTCCTATGTGTGTGTGTGTGTGTGTCCAAATTTTCCTCTTTTGTAACACTACTAGTCATATTGCATTAGGGGCCTACCCTAATCCATTATGACCTCATCTTAACTAATTACATCTACAAAACCCCTGTTTCCATACCAGGTCACATACTAAGGTAGTTGGAGTAAGAACATCAGCATATGAATTTTTCAAGAGTGCAATAACATTTTACAACAATAAAAATTTTTAAAAAATCTCCCATGCATTACACAGTATCAAGGGGATCCATGGAAACAACAAATGTACATGAATCTCATTGTCTAGGAAGTTTCCTTTATAAACATAGATTGGCAACTTCCTGACAGGTAGAATTTCACCTGAGCATTTGAACGACTGACATTCCCATGTCTTTCTCTGCTCTCCTCTATACTGATAATGCTAGAATATTGATAACTAAATGTCCCAAGGTCACTTGTAGGCAGAGGTGCTGCACAACTTCTCAGTGGCCTGAGAAGTAGAAAATATTATTATTTTTTCCAAAAATGGTACCAGAAGCATGAGTTTAGGCAGGTGTGAATATTTGCAGTGGCCTTGGGATGCAAACCATCACAGTATTAAAATATAAATTAATAGTCAGTTCTGACTGCAGCCATAAAGAAGACAAACCAAGAAAATAATCTCAAGGCATTTAAACAAACAAGAATATATGTGGAAGTCAAATGAGCACATAAAAATGTGGTTAGCATGTTGAAATGCACATTAAATACCAAGGAGATAAGACTTACATACTTTTTAGAATGGCTAAAATGAAAAAAAAGCTGACCATACCAAGTGTTGGTAAGAATGCAGAGCAATTGGAGCCCTTTTAGTCTGCTGGTAGAAACGCAGCATGGTGTAGTTCCCTTTGGAAAATCATTTGGCAGTTTGTCCATAAAGGTGTGAAAAGAAAAACTCCAGGTGAATTTTAAAAAGTACTTTATGGAGTGATCAGAACAATGTAAATTATCTGTGGTGAATGTGATTTAAAATATATTTTAATTCTGAGAGCAAAAAGGATGGCTATAAAGAAAAGGGCATGGGGCTGGGATTATAGTTTAGTGGTAGAGCGCTTGCCTTGCACTTGTGAGGTACTGGGTTTGATCTTTAGCACCACACAAAAAATAAATAAATAAAATAAATAAAGACATTATTATTATTATTATTTTTCCAGTTTGAAACCATATTTTATTTTTAACATAGCTAGAAATATCCAATAACTATATATTTTTAAGCAGAAAACTTTCTTTTCCTTCTTACACCATCATTAGCAGAAAAAAAGAATATTTCTCGCTTTTAGAAATGATACTGGGTCTCTAAGAAAATGAAGACTATCTGTTGTATTTGTGGAACTTAAAGTCTAAAAGCACAGGACACAGTTTCAGAAGAGTAATTTACTTTTACCCATTTATATTCGTAATATTCGAGTATAGTTAAGTCATGTATAATTAAGTCAATCAAATCAGGAATCCAAAAAGAAACTGTTCTTCTTGAGTTAAGCACAGCACACATGAGATTTTGAGAACATACATGAACAACAACAACGAAAAAGAACACCAGCAAGCCCAAATCCAAGTATAAATGGTGTTTTTTCCCAAGGATTTTAAAAGCATGCTCCATTAGCATACAACTTTTTCTCATTTTTGTAACAGATGCAGTTCTGTTTACTCATGTACAGTAAAGGGTTAGAACCTGTATAAATATATTAGAAATGTACTACTTTATAAATGTACTCCAAGGAATTTATCATTTCCTTTATCTTTGCAGGGACAAAAGGGAAAAAGAGGTGGGGGTATGGTTACAGTATTTAAGGAAGAGCTGAATACAATAATGAATCTTCATGGTGCCAAGAACTCCATAATGAATAACCAGGCTCTCATCTATTTTATAATTCATGTTAGATCAAGCAGTTAATTCCTTGTATGGTTACCAATAACTCAAACCATATACTCTTCAAAATACAAAGATCAATAGGTACTTCCTAAATAGAACACCAAACACTAAAAGGAATCCTTCCTTCCAATGTTTTTTGACATCACAAGATTTTGCCAGAGTGGAAGTCTAATAACATTTAAATAAGCAATCTCATGGCTAAGAAAGAACTACAGCTCTTATGGGTATTATTCCACAGCTAGGATATGTATTACATATTAAATTAACCCCAGCATTAAATATGCTTTGCACAATTATGGTATGATAGCAGTGATGATGCTAGTGAGAAAAGATTATCTTTAGTTCAAGAAGGAGGGAAATACAAGAAGCAGAAAGCAGACATAGTTGGTCATTTTCTGATAAGAAAAGGTAAATTTTAAACATAGAACATAAAAAGAAAACTACTCCCTTATTTTCCCATGGTGGAAATAATATGAAACATTTATTTGATATATTGAACAAAAACAGAGCTAAGTAATCCTACTCCATTGCAGTATAACAACAAAAAAATCACCTCTTCAACCCAGTGTAAGATTTAAATGCAACCTGCATAAGGGCACATGTCATATAAAATAGTAAGACTGCTGCTGCCTTACCAAGTACTTTCAGTCCCTACCCAGGTTAAAGTGAAATGCTGGTGGTCCCAATAGTTTTATTGAAATTAATCATTTAAAAATATTTTTAAATGACAAATCAAAATGCCTCAGTCTCAGTAACCATATATTCAACTGAAACTTTTATCTATGTAAATGAGATTTATTTACTTCCCACTAGTAAGTCTTTATTTCACTCACCTTACAGCTATGTATTTTCCATAGTTAGTATCTGCCTTGCCCAATATCAAAGAAAAAATCCAAAATGATTAGTAAATAAAAATGTAGGAAATAACACCCCCTTGAGTTTTAAATATTTTTAAGGTTTAAAAAGTGTTTTAAGTTTGTAATTCCTAGTAGGAAAACATTATCTGAATGAACACCCTAATGGCAAACCATTGTAAAATGCTTCAACTGGATTTGCTGCAGAGGGGTAGGGATTATCTTCAAAGCACCCCAGCTCTCCTGATGAGGTCAGATGTACACTGGTTTGTATTATTTCGACAGCCATTAAGTGATCTAGGTTGCTTTTCCTTCAGTAAGGGTTTTGTCAGGTGGGCATTATGCTTGACCTCCAAACTTGGCTGACAATTTACTGATCAGATTCATAACCTTTGGGTTGCTTTGATATTTTGACATATTTGCTGGGTTCTGGGCCACATCCTGGAAGGCCACCATAACTTCTGGATCCTGCATGGCTGCAAGAACCTCTGGATCACTAAGAATTTCATTGAGCCCAGGCATTCCTGCCATTCCAGGCATACCCCCTCCCATTCCAGGCATACCCCCTCCCATTCCAGGCATTTCTCCAGGAAAATTACCAGGCATTCCTCCAGGAAAGCCACCTGGAAAAGAGCCAAACTGAGCTCCTGCTTGTCGTCTGGCTTCTTCCTCCCTCTGGGCGCTCTCATGTTCTTCTCGAGCCTTCTTAACTCTTTCTATTCTTTCTTTGATCTCTCGCTCTTCACGTTTTCGCTCATATTTTCTCCGATGTTCAGCAATTTTCTGGGCCCGTGGTTGAACTTCTTTCAGCATTGCACTAGCATCATCATCATAATCCAGTTTACAGGCAAGAGCAAGATCGTGGGCTGCTTCTTCCCAGTGGCCCAAAAGTCTGTGGGCTTTCCCTCGCCACTTGTAAGGCTGAGCTGAATCAGGATTTATTTCAATGGCTCTGTCACAGTCTCGAATGGCAGCATTTGGCTTCTGTAATTTGATGAAGACACTGGCTCTCTTGGCATACAGAATGGCCAAGCGAGGATTTAGCTTGATAGCATCTGTGAGCAAGTCAATGGCTTTCTGTAGTTCACCATCATTCAGGGCGTCAATGGCAGCCCCTTTCTTTTCATTTGCTCGATCCATCATCTCCTCGGTTATCTCCGCATTTTCATCTCCCATTTCTTGAGGAGCATCAGTGTCTGGTTCAATTACACCTTCATTATCAATTTCTAGATCACTTTCCTCACTTGATGGCTCATCTCTCTTAATGTTTTCTTCCGACTTCTTGCTATCTGTTTTTTCTTCCTCGGTATTTTCTTCTGATTTAGGTTTATGAGTTATCCCCCATCCTCTCCACCCACTCTCTCAGGAAGCGCATCTCCTCGGTGTGCAGGACGCTCGGATCCTGCTTACACATTTTCACAAAGGCCCGAAGCTCGCTCACTTTGCGGGGATCCATGGTGGAGGAGAGGCAGGGGGAGGCGGCTGCGGCCCGGTCCCAGGCCCGGGCGCTGGCTCAGCGTGACCGCGCAGAAGGGGGCGGATGCCGCGAGGCCAAACAGACTAGAACCTCCCTGGCCGCTGGCTCCTCCCTCTCAAGACATTATTATTGAAAACAAAAGAAAAGGACAAGTGAGTCCCAAGAATCTTAGTTTGAAAACTGATTGCACCAGGAATTAGTTTTTTTTTTTTTTTTAATTTTTAGTTTTATTTTTCAGTTGTTGATAGATCTTTGTTTTATTTATTTATATGCAGTGCTGAGAATAAAGCCCAGTGCCTCACACATGCCAGGCAAGTGCACTACTGCTGAGCCCTAGCCCCAGCCCAGGAATTAGTGTTTTGACCTTGAGTAAGGTACTTATTTTCTCAGATTGTCAGTTATCACATGTATAAAATGGGATAACTAAATATATTTATGTGTTTTAGTGAAAATGTGCCATTTTTATTATTTCAGTGTGAGTTCAAATTGGTTGAGACATATATGTCATTCAATTTTGTTTCTATAGAACCAAATATATAAACATAGTGATAATTGGAAACAGGAAATTCAGTTGTTCCAACTAGAAATGGGGTCCATTGGCTTATATATATTCTACAACCAAGGAGTTGGGAATGTAGCTCAGTGGTAGAGTGTGTGCCTAAAATAGACTACAACCATAACCCTAGGAACCCCCTTTGGCTTATGGTTAGCCTCTGTGGAGACTTTGAAGATAGACTTCTTGGCACATATATTATCACTAGTTTTTAAACTTGCCATACTTTCTAGTGGCATGATGAAGCCAAGACACTGAATACAGAACAGATTAAATCAAATGAACTCTTTAGAAGGTAGTTTTAAGTAGAAATAAAAAATTGTGCTTACTTTTACTAACAATCTAATATATAATAAACCTGAGAAAAGAAATGGACAAACATGTATAATTGAAATGTTTTCACTTGCTATAGATAGCTAAAGCAGTTAATGTTTGGAACTGCATAAATGATACAACATAAAGTTTCAGTATTACATTTGCCTTTTCCTTGCTGTGCAAAAGTACAGAACTGTTTTTTTTGGGGGGTGCTCGTTTACCTTTATGTGATTTTATAAGTATGGTAACCACATGCCCTTGGTTTCCATCTAATGTTCAGGTATAAATGCAGATAACATATGTTTTTATACTTGAAAACATTCTAGTTTGTAAAATAAATCATATGGTCATACTAGTTTCAGCCATTACTATAATTTTAACATCAAAATGGAAAGAGTTATGTACTATGTTTCACAACAAGGGAAAGAAAAGAAAAAAGGAACAAATGGAGGTAGATGGAGGGAGTGGGAAATGGAAAGGGAGAACAAGACACTTGGAAAAGTCAAACATTTGTTTCTAAAAGTTTGAGAGATAAATGGCAAAATTCAGAAGTTCTTCCATGATATTTTTGATGTTTAGATTCAGGTACTATTGGATAGATATATTTAATAATGCATACTTTAGTAGCATATCTATAATTTCTTCCATATTTTGAAAATATCAGAGCTCAAGAATGTATTTCCTTTTAATTATACAATACATTCCATAACTGTTGGTGTCTCATTCATATTCTTTGTTGAACTTCTTCCACTTTCAACATTATGTAAACTAATAGATACCCCTGTAATTTAACAGAGCTATCTTTTTAATTTAGTAATTAATTTTATTCTTCTTTAAGAGTTAAGGTTAGGGTAGGGTTAGCAATATAAGTCAGAATTTGACATAACCTAAGAAGAGGCATTCAAATCTCCATAAAAAATCAAGCAGAGTGTTTTCTCATTTGCTTAGTAATAATAAAATCTTAATTCAGATGTTATAATTTGATTTAAGCAGATATTTTATGAAAAAGAACCCATGCAAAACATATCTTTGTATTCTATCCAACAGAACCAGTGAATGTAATAATCAGAAGTGAAAATGATGTAATATGTCTTATTTGAATTCATTATTTTAAAATTTTATTTTATTTTTGTAGTACTGGAATAAAACCCAGGGCCTCACACATGCTAGGCAGGTACTGAGCTATACCCCTAATCCTTGAATTTATTATTTTTATTAAGAGAGAAGATGGGTTTGTAAGTTAAGGGTTTTTTTTGTCCAGAATTTTATTAATTATGCTAAAACTGATAGTAGAATTACTTTAGTGACTCAGCATATTTCATACAAACTGATATTACAAATGCAATTACTGTTAAAAAGAATCGGAACACTGTTAGCTTTAAAGTAGGAAAATGCTTTCATGTTATTCAATATGACTCTGGTTCAGTTTACTTCTGTATTTGTTCTTTTATGTCTTCTTTGAGATCCCAAAACATTTTAACCATGTATATCCTGAAATCTTTCTCTGTCATTTTTCTGCTATAGCTGCCAATGCTTCTAATGATGTGTTGTCTTGGTTTGTTTGTGGTACTCTCTTCCCTTGTCTTTTCATGTTGCTCATGTGTCTTCCTTTCCAGCTCTGTGGATCTGGTATTATTGTTTTTATCCTATAGATTTGTAGTGTTCTTGTAGGGTTCCAAGATCTCTCCTTTGTGGGGAAGGACAATATTAACAGATCCCTATGTCAACAATACATCACCTATGAACAAATTGTTGTTCTTAAGACATTTACAGTTTAGTCTCAATGTCCAGAAATGTTGGATTCAATTATTATTTAATATATAATCAATAGTTTCATAAAAAGGTTTACAGTTTCTGGTGGTGGACAATGAACTGGGGGTCAGGCGTAGGACTATATGCTGAGGGGGAAAGATGTGAGGGTATAGAGTTAATATATCTTAGGAAATGTGAAGGAGAAATCTAGTGAAGAGGGTTAGCAGCAGGGGAATAGACAGGAAGTAATTTGGGGTAGATAATTATGTGGGAAGACCGTAGAGCACATAAAACAAACACACATATGTATTTAGAAAAATACAGGATGTAAAAATAGTAAAATTTGGAGGATGAAGAAAGAATAAAGAGAAAAAAAGGGAAGGAAAGAAAGAAAGAAAAAATAGAAGAAAAAAGAAAAAAAGGGAAAAAAGGGGCTTATGCAATTCCTCTATATTATATTAATCAGGTGACTCAGTCCTAAAAGTCCTATTTCATGCAAAGTTCTTGGTTTTACATCTGTTGGAGATATGAGGGTCAGAGGACAGAAGGGTAGAAGAGAAGGAAGAGGAGGAAAAAAAATACTCTTAGAGATCCGTTTCTTTCTCTTTACATCCAGTAGGTGGGGTTATGTCGCGACCCCTTGCCCGCAAGGAAGACGCAACTCAGGAATCTTCTTTCAGCAGTTTATTCAGGCCCTTGATATTTCTTCTTCTTTTTCTCAGATGCCCCTCCCAGCCTTAATAAAGCATCTCAAGCCCCAATGCGAAGCTGCCACGTGGAGCTTTCTCATAGGGTGGTGAAAAACCATGCGCCAACTCTCCCAAATAAGGAGTTGTTTGTCACAGACCACAGCGGAGCCAGCGCCATCTTGTAATGGCGACCATAGTCTGCAGAAACGGCAGAAGCGGCTCACCACAGTTCCCCCTTTCTGTTTTCTTAAAACAATACAGGCGAGAGTAGAGGTCCTATCCCACTGTGCAGAAGTGGCTGCATAGTATGACTCAGTCCTAAGGAGGCGCCTTCCCCAGATCTGAGGCCATATCAGTCGACGCCTTTTTTCGTGGGGCGGGGCGTGGATGCGTCTAACCCGCATGCAATAGGACATGCTCTCCTTGAGGTCCACGTCAAGGATCACTCAAGTGCAGTGCCTTGCCTCGCATCCTGTATCGTGACGATGGTGGACGAAGGGGGATAGCTGAGGCTGAACTGTGGCTGTTTATAACGACAAACAAGTTGACAGCACCCTGAAAGAAAGGCACGGACTTTAAGGCGATAGAAAAGCACTAGTGTGGAAACCCATCTGCGTGCAATGGCAGTAAGACCGGCAGAGTGCAAGGGCTTTCCAACACTAAGAGAATAACAAGGAAAGTCATGTCGATCCCAGTGCAATGTTATAATAACTTGGGGTGTAACGACCATGTCAAAGGTTTACTGTTTAAGATGCGCAAGCCAGACTTGAGGTGAGTTGCCATTTTCTAAAGCTGCAAGAGCTTGTATGATCATAGCCTTATTGTGAGCACTGTGGGCCTTAAGGCGACAGAGAAACCACAAACAGAGGAACATACCGAAGCAACACATTGCACCAAAAATGCCTACCCCCACCCACTCTTTGAAGAAGGAAAAAGCAGAAGATATCCAATCGGTGAATTGACCCAAAGTCACGGGATCGACACGGGTACTGTTCAAGACAGCTATCTGGGTTAGTTGAGACTGGATCATGTCTTCCGCTGCCATGGACCAATTTCCGGCCAAATATTCGCCAATGATGCGGGAGGCATTTCTGGAATCATTAAATCTGACAGAGGTTATGCATAAATGTGCACGTTGGTCAACACAACCCAAAAGCACCAAGTCGGCCAATTCTTCTACCTGAGCTTGGAGTAAATCTATTCTTTGGTTGGCAGCTAAAATCCCTGACAAAATATGTTGATTAATTGTATTTTGGGATTCAAGTATGGTGGAAGTTTGTTGAACAACTTGATTAATGGTGGCAGCAGTTTGTACTTGACTGGCCATGGCCATTCCGGCCATAACCGCTGCAGCAGCAGACACTGCCACAGCTGTCACTATAGCTGCCGTAATTCCAAAATCCCTGCGGACTCTAAGTAGCTCAAGAATGGGGAATTTATCTGGGTCCGCAGTGACTGGGATTGGGACAAAAGTTGGAATTTTCATAACCACTGCTACAGTCCAAGAACCATTCCAACACTCAGATAAGAGACAGGTAACATTAGAACAATCCAGCATCCCCGACGAGGTGTCATTAGCCAAAAGGAGCAAGAACGGGGATTGGACACAGACCATTGCAGGGGGCAATGTGGCATTATATAGCAGAGAGTTGAACGAAACAGATGTAAATCTATTACCTCGTTCACTTTCCCTAACAGTGCCAGAAACATTAGCCAGCCAGCTTTTGGCTCCCAGCAATTGAGC